CACTACCATGGAGGGCTTTATGGGTGGTAAGTAGCACCTTGAAGCGCACCCGGCCTTCCCTGCCTTTAACTGCTTAATTACCTGTAGAATTTCCCCTGAAGTTATTGGTTGATTCAATTTTTGCCTGTGCTCGTCTTTAACTATGGGTATTTTCTCTTTATCTAGGTATCTCTCTATATCTAGGCCGTTAATTTTATCACCCTTATACAGCTCTGTAAAAAATTCCCGGAAGGCCTTTTGAATCTCATCCTGTTGGAACACTTCCTTCCCTCTATAGAGCAGTTTAGTTATGTTTCGAGAGTTTTGTTTTTTCCTAATCTGATATGCTAACCGGTTCCACCACAAATGCGCGCACAACAAAAGCGCGCCTGACTAAACCGCGGTGTCTAAAGCGCGGTGACAAAACCGTGCGACGAATGAGTGACTAATTAGCCCTAAAGCGCGCCGTCAAAAGCGTGCCGACAGAAGCGCGATTTAATTTAAGGTAAGATTTACGGTTAGGTTTAGGGTTAGGTTTAGGGTTAGGGTTAGGGTTAGAGTTAGGGTTAGGGTTAGGTTTAGGGTTAGGGTTACGTTACAGCGCGCTTCTGTCGGCGCGCTTTTGTCGGCGCGCTTTAGGGCTAATTCGTCACTCATTCGTCGCACGGTTTTGTCACCGCGCTTTAGACACCGCGGTTTAGTCAGGCGCGCTTTTGTTGTGCGCGCATTTGTGGTGGAACCGCTGCCAATTATTATTATTTTTTTAAGTGCCATGGTTTGGGTGGGCTTTGATACCCCGACGGGAACACCGCCAACCACCCAGGCCTCCTCCAGGGACCCGGCTGCACCTTCCAGGGGCTTGTCCAGCGCCTGCAGCTGCTCCACCAGGCCGAAGGTGAGCTCCTGCACCTGCCTCCTGGCCTCGGGGAGCGAGGCTTTGTCCAGGTCGAAGGTCACGCTCTGCCCACCATCCTGGACCTGCAGCGTGGCCTTGGTGTCATGGAGAGTGAGGACGGGCTCCTGGCCCTGCAAGAGTTCCCTGCAAAGAGAGTGGAGAGTGACTGGCTGTGCCCTGGAGGTGCCAGGAGGCAGAGCTGGGAGGGCATGGCAGCCGTGCTGAAGCAGGCAGGGAATTCACTCCCCTGCGTGAAAGCCAAGGGCGCCCCCTCTCGGCCAGCCCTGGCATCTCCCCTTTCGGCTTCCAGCTCCGGCTGTCTTCCTGCCAAAGGGGTTCTTATGGGCCCCTCCAACGGCTGAAGGAGCTGCCCACCGGGGGAATCCACCCTGGGAAGGGAGAGAGGGAGCAGAACCATGGCCAGCGGCCCCACTCACCGCAGTCTGGCGAGGCGGCCGGCGGGAGAGCCGGGCTCCTCCTGCGCCAAGGGAAAAAGACAGTCAGCCGCGGGGCGCGCGAGGGGCGCAGCGCCAAGGACCCCAGACCCGGGGGGAAGCAGGGGGGACCCTCCCTCCGCACCTGTCCGTGCAGCTTCTCCGGAGGGACGCTGCAGCTCCAGAACTCCCAAGCGTCGGTCAGCCTGCGGGCAGGGAAGGAAAGAAGGGAGGGAAGGGGGAACGGTTGAACCAAAAGAGCTTCCCGCCGGCAGGAGAGGAAGAGGCGGCCAGGAGGGCGGGGGATCCCAGCCTGGGCTCTTTTCTGCCAGCCTCCAGAGCCGAGGGTGAAGTGGCATCAAAGGGGCGCTTCTGAGAAGGAGGGGGGGGCAGGCATTGTTGAGGAGGGGGGGGGGGCTTCCCAGGCTCTCTGTACACGCTCAGGGGCCGAGGAAGAGGCTGCCAGGG